GTCTAACTAACTGCAGATAAACATAATCAAATATTGGATAAATATATCATTTTAAATATAAAAAATCTAAAATATAATTATGATGATCATTGATAACTAACAGAATTTAATTAAGGAAATTATACCAAAATACAAGAACTTTTAAAAAGATTAATTTAATACTGATATCGATATTTTTTTTCAAAATTTTATGATATTTTTAAATTTATATTTTATTCAAAAATAAAAATATTACCACTTTCTCAAAACCACATAAAACCAATGTTTATTTAAAATTCAAAATTACAAGTAAATTATGCAAAAGTACAACTTATCAACTCGGTTTTTGAATTCGTATAACTAAGTTTATATTTTATTCAAAAATAAAAACATTATCGCTTTTTCAAAATCACATAATACCATATTATAACATCAACTGATATAAATAATAAAATGAAATATTAAAATCAAAATGTATCTCGCTGCATTACGCAAGTACCCTTCTAGTATTATATAATGACCAGGTCATTTTGTGACATTTATTTTATTTTATTGATGTGATATTATTTAATTGTGGAACTATTTAATCAAGTAATTAAACATCTAATTAATATTAAACTATTTTTTTCTAAAAATTTCTTGCATGTTTTTATTTTCAGTTGTCTTGTTTCTTTGAAGATTTTAAGGTGGAATTTGATTCACATAATAAATCTGTTGCAATCAGAATCTGTTAAATAAATTAGAACCTAAAGGAATTTGAATGGAATTTAATCATGTTTGACCAATTTTGGTTGGTAGGAATTGTAATAGAATAGGTCAAAATAATTTGAATCTGTCTATTTAGTTTGTTGAATAAAGTAGGGGTGCGTGTAGGCGGTAATGGTGTAGATGGTAGTGGTGGTAGCGGGGATGGTGGTGGGGGTGAAGGCGACATTGGTAACGACCATGATGGCGGTGTTGGAGGTAGCGGTGACAGCGGTAGTGGTGGTGACTATGGCGGAGGGGTGGCAGTGCCGATGGATGGAGTGGTGATGACGGTGGTGGTGGGGGTGAAGGCAACAGTTGTAATGACGATGTTTTGTAATTTATCTTTAAAATAAATAATTTAGCTTTTATTAAAATACATTGTCTTGTTATAATAATATTTTGGAAAGTTGACTTTGACAGCTTTAAATTAACATTAAACATTGTGACTTTTAAAAGACACCAAATCTGCATTCAAACTTGTCACTATCTAATGTTACCGGCTGGTCTCGAGGCCAATTCAAAAGTTCAAACTTGCATCTCAGCAAAGACCATCTTGATAGAGTCCGACTTGTTCTTGAAGACTATGTTGTTACAGTGGTTCTAAAGTAAGTAGCAGATAGCCCAAAAAAGAAGCGTGTAGGATATGATTTAACCATGGAGAGAAGGAAGGACCCTTTAGAAATTTAGCAACTCGGACGTGAAGCAATCAAATTTGACATCAATGTTCCATCATTTTCGAAATAGAGCCCATACCTGTCTAGCAATCGAACACTAACAGATCTATCGTCTCGGGGTTTTCATTACATCTCGGGCAAATAATTGTGTCCAAATCAATTCCCCGATTATCTAGCGCAACTCTAACGAGAAGTCGATCATGGATAGCACGCCATATAAAGAGATGTTGATCTTTCTTCGTACAAGCTTATTCCAAATAGTTTCTAGATTAGGAACACTGTTTGTGCAGCATTTCTCCTAGACCAAAGTTTTCGGTTTTTTGACCGTGAACTTTCCCTCGTCATCTGCTTTATTGGGAGAGCTTCTTTTTATAAAAAGATCATATTTTTGTCTAATTTAGATAACTATGGGGCCGTTTACTAAACACTTACCCGATAAGTGTTAATCGGGTAACTTTCCTCACCTGATGTACATGGTAAGGACCGAAAATCTTACCCGGTAAGAGCGATGATAAGGATAAAGAGTCTTACCGAGTAAGTGATGGTGATGACTCTTACTCGGGTAAGCATTTACCGGGTAAATTGTTGCATATCATACCATTTTAATATACTACAATCTTATTTGGTAAAATAGATTGTAGTGTTGACTCCTATGGTAAGTGCTTACCGGTTAAGTATTCGGGTAAACAGCCCCTAACTTTAAAATTGATTTAAAATTTTTTGTTTACAATAATCAGTTAATGGTAATTATATATATATAGACTTGGGATCATGTGAGACCAGCCTGTTTT